TTGAAATAGACATAACCAAAGGTGTACGAACTCAATGACATCAACAAATACAACTGTGCGTGCATGATGCCAGTGTGAATGAATAAATGAATGCCGTGTATGTGCTGACAAAACAGACAGGGGAGATAGACTGAAGATGATAAGACGTTATAGTACAGCTCGACACTCGGCTAATCTCAACAGGATGGGAACATTACTGGAGATAAAACACAGGCCATCATTGGAGCAAGGTCCTTTTACAAGGCTTAAATCTCTTTGGAGAGGAAGATATTTTCAGGTAGAAAACTCAAAGTCTAGTCTTCTATTGCAAACAATCCATAGAAAGGATAACGACACAAACAAAGTTTCAGCTGGAAAGAAGTCTTGCTTAGCTGGAGATATTGGGAACACCACCCTCTGAAAACATATCTTGACAAATCTGGATTGCCCCTGGGATTAATTTTGGATGCCCCAAGTTTACTGCTGATAAGCTGCGAGATGCACGACAATTCTCGCGAATAGCTTCACTTCTAACATGCCCCAAGCTATCTGGTTGATGAGGAGAAATCGTCTCAAGAGGATTTTACAAAAGACCTGGCATTCACCATGCTCTGGTGTCTTCAAACTCTTAGAGGAATTCATCAAATCTCGACGTGATTGCCCCGGATTGACTGTAGTTGGCACAACAAAGTCTTCAAAATTTGCCCCAAAAGAGTAAACAAGTTGGGAAAGCATTAGCTGGGAGAAGCAACATGTCCGTGCTTAAGGTCTTCAGGTGACATGCCCCTGGATATGATTTTTTCTTGACGTGATCCGCCAATTACTCAACATAGTTTCAGGCCTTAAAAGAATAAAACTCATCACTGGTGCTTATATGTGAGTTTCCTTGATATCAAACAAATGTTTTGCAGTTAGAAAATTTTATTATGAGAATGAAAATTCTAATGCAACAGTTATGTAAGTCTTGAAGATTTTGAAAAGATATCGCACAAATTTTGCGAGTTAGAGCACCATTTATTTTTGTATAGGAAAAACATATGATACCAACATAACTATTTAGAACATTCATGGGAGTCAGGAACACTATCTCATTGGAGTATGCTTTCAAAATAACCTTGCTTCAATTAGGACTTTTGAAGGTTGTAACGTGGTCTGGTTCATGGTTTTAGAAAAAAACATTTTAAGGCTCAAAATATTTGGTGCCCACCCATTCTTCATGATGTTCTCCAACCCTATGTTCAGTTAATTCAACATGAGTGTTCATTTTTCAAAAGGATTTTGTGACGGTCAAGGAAACGACGAGGTTTTCGGAGTAGAAACCGCCCTCATGTCTTCGGGTTTGTAGTCACCAATTTGTTCTTTGTTGAGGACTTTTCTTTGCAGTCCTTTTCTTTGCGATTTTATTTTCCCTAACTTTTGCCTGAACTAATTCTTTTGAATTGATAGTCCAGCGGGATGCCTTAATTTTGCCTAAGTCACACGTTTTCATGTTTTTTGACTTAGCAGGCTTTTTCTTTTTCTCGATTTTTGACTTTTTGAACAAAATGTGTGACATTAGCTTGTATTTGCTTGTTGAGAGGATTGTGATTGCCTCGTTTCTTGATGAATGAGGGATAACATTGTGGTTCCACATCCTCTAGCTTCATTATAAATGAAAGATAGCCCTCGTAGTTTCTCTTCAAAAAACATCTTCCTTATGAATTTCGAACACTCAGTCAGATTAACTAAAAACTACCCTGCCCCAGGTTAAAATTTGAGGGTTTTTCGTATAGAAAAGAAACTCCTACTTCAAGGCTCAAAAGGGGTTAGCAAGGGATTATCTTCCTTATATCTCCGGTGTTTAGGGATTTGAAACAATGCCTGTACATCATCAGCAAGATTTTATCCAAAAGCAAACAAACAGAGATTTTGTGTTCTTTAGATCATCATCCTCCCTTCAATCTCTGCCTAGGCAAGAGAATGAGCAACAAGTTGGTATCATAATGCCAAAAGAAATTTAAAATTTGAAAACAAATATGAGTGAAACGAATGAATTTCTTCAAGACAAACATACCCATTGTATTAAGATAATCATACAGATGCAAACAAGTTCTTACATGCAAACAATGTTTTGATAAACAAGAAAAATTGCAACAAGCAGAAATAAGTTAATGTTCGGGGAAAGCTTTCCATCTGGACTTGAATCACCGAAAACATCCTTCAAAACTCAAAGTGACCATCAATCGTGTTTACTCTTCGGCGCATGCTTGATTTGAACTTCAAAACCAACATCCTTGAATGACAATCAGTGAATACTTTTATCATCGCTTCCTCCTTCTTAGAAGGATTGACTTGGGCGGCAAAAATTTCAACCAAAACAGTTGAGTGATCCATACCAGCTTTCAAATTAGTCACCTCTCTGCGGAGTTCAGAAATCTCTTGCTTGATATTCTCCATTGTTCTCTTAGCGTCAGTGTTGTACTGGTGAGACCAAAAATAAGACTCGGAAAAATACCTTTGAAAGTGAAACCAAAAATGTAGAATGATGTATGATATGCAAAAGAGAGTTTTTATTTGATTTTCAAGGAGCTCAAGATATTAAGTTGTAAACATCAAAGTATGAAGATAGAAGATGAATTTTACATTGGCTCCAAACATTGATCAAGTTATCATCAAGATCAATCATCCATTTTGGTGGATTAGGGTTTTCGCCCTATCAACACCCAAGATCCATTGAGCTTGACGAAACTTGTGATGTTTACAAAGAAAGACCTCCAAATTCCTTGAAAGTCAAGTGAAAAGGGTTTTATGGATGCATGAATGCATGGCTATGCAAAAACCACAAGCAAGGTCACAAATAAAGTCAGAAGGTTTAACGTCTCGAGCATGGAGTCAAGGTAAGGAACACCCCCAAGGTATGTACTAACGGTTTAATCACACCTGTAGAACAAGGTTCTAAGAGTTCCCGGAGTCTACATTCCTCCTTCGGATATTACCAACATCTTGATTACTCAATAATCAGCAATATTCTCAAGAGAAACTCATCCGAGCGTAGCATCGCGTAACAATTACTTCCGGATTACTCCGTTATAATCTCCGCGCTACACCTAAAAGGCCAAGATGGGTTAGGGTTCTACGGTTCCCAGCTTCTCTGGCTCCCAGGTCGAAAATAATAATGTTTTCCCGATTACTCGGTAAACAAATATTACGTTCAAAAGGGCCTTCCACTGAGTGGGGGATCTCATGCCTCCTTCTTCGGGATTACTCCCTCAAAGTTAACATGACTATACCGCCCGTCCTATTCCTAAGTGTAACTTAGTCCGGGTATAGGACTTGTCCTTTGTAAATATTATCAATATCCAAATAATCATAATATATACATATAATCAAACAATCAAATAATGATAAAACAGATAAAACAAATTAGGCTTAACCCACTTAGGGATGGACCAGCAAGAGGTCAATCTTTCCCCAGCAGAGTCGCCAATTCTGTAGCGGTGAAAATCGGAGATCAAGCTATTAATTAACTTGACTCACAAAAGCAAGAGTCGCCACCGCACTTTATTATTTCCAAGGGAAAAGGGAAAAGAGCGAAATAAAACCCTAAAATATGCAATGTAAAGTAATATTTAAAAGTAATGAAAATACAATGCGTTTTTAAAAGAGATCGAGAGTTCGGGGGTTGGTTATACAATGGGAAGGTATTAGCACCCAATGCATCTGCGGTACTCCGCAGGAACCTTTTGAAATATCTGTTTTTGGTTAAAATTGTTTGTTTGATTAAAATGGTTCGTTTGGCTAAAAATGGGTACGGACGGGATTTTTGGAGATACGACGACCTAGTGTCGAAGTTTTGACTTAAAAGGTGTGAATTTGAGAATGGAGTCTTTTGGGGAAAATTATCTTAAGTTTGGGAAAAATAGTAAATAAGCAAAAAATGAATGAGGCTATTCGCACGATCGGATGAGATGTATTTGATGACGTGAAGTCAACAAAATTAAAATATTTCCCTTGGAATAAATGGAGCGAGCAAAATAAAATAGGCATCGAAATATAAGCAATCAAAATTCACAAGAAAATAAATATAACTAAACAGATTAATGACCTAAGGGCGCCGAGAAATTAAAATGGCAAAGAATTTTTTAAATACAAATAAGGAGGATGTAATTAATTATCTAGAAAAATTGTTTAAACTAAATTAAAATCCTAAGGTTATTTACTAAAATAATTCCACTAATTACAAAATTCTAAAGTTATAAAATTATTAAAGCTCTAAAATTAATAAATTATATCTAAACTAATTTAACTATAAACTAAATTAATCTCAAGATTGCCAATTTAAATTTGAACTAAACTAATTCTAAGAAAAGGTGAAGCAGAAAATTGGGAGGGTGTATAGATAGCAAGCTCTGTATTGAGAGCAAAACCCATCCAGAAAAAGGTCCAGGAGTTATCTTTTTATTGTAAACAATTTCAGAATTAAAAATTCAATGGGCCTCAGATGGCCCGGCCGGCCCAATCAATAACATCCATCCACATTACTTAATCATATTAGGATTATTGAATTAAATTAATAGATAAAAGAAAAGAGTTATAATAATAGGATTATAGAATTAAATAAAAAAGAAAAGAGTTATAATAAGACAAACAATTAGAAAAGGGATTAGGGTAAGGAAAACATCACATAGTACCTTTGTCTTCTCAAAATCGCGACGGCGGCTACCACAGCTTCCAATCTGGCGTTCTTCTCCTTCTACCTCTCGCGCCTCTTTGTCTTCGCCGAGGTCGAGCTTCCGCTGAAGAAGAGACTTCAGAGCTTCCGGTGATGAAGATCCATCGTTTGTTTCGAGGAATTCGGACAGAGGCGATGTTTCAGCGTCGGCGAGAACTGCATCTGCTTCGGTTTCGTCGATGACTTCGGTGAGTGTAGGCGGCGACATGGAACTGGGCGGTGGTTGTTCGTGAAGAGGTGGAAAGTGAGAAGCCATCAAAGACCTCAAAGCTGCGAGTATGTCTGCCATTTTCGTTTTACTTTCTCAGTCTCACTGTTTTACTTCATCCATTAATGTGCAAAATGTTTTGATTTGAGAATGAACATTTTCTTGTACTAGCATTTGTTGATCGGCAACAGAGGCTTTGCTGGCTATTTCAATAATCTCTTCTGCCTCTGTTTCACTAGCATTCTTCCCCTTCTCTATCATACACATTCTGGTAAATAGGAGTTCTAAATCAAAATTGTGTAGTTGCAAATTAAGATCACATCGGGTTGCAGTTGCATTCTCATTCTCAATTAGAAAGACCGGTTCAGCTCTCAGTATAAATAAACAAGCTTGTATCAGTACCCCTTTTCCTCACTTTCTCCACAACCTGTTAGGCTGCCTCTATAAAATCTGTCAAAATGAATTTTACTGAGATGCAAAAACCTCATCCCAGCCTGCAGCAATGCAACAATTCATTACGGATGATTGCTTCCAATTCGTGACAAAAGATTACTCACCGTCAGTGCAAAATCAAAGCAATCTGGAAGACACGAGTAACCATCCAAACTGATTAAGATCAATGGACAGTAGGAGGTAGGTCGTTGTTCAGTTGGGTCACGGTGAAGTGAAGGTGGTGTTCTGGTAGATTGATGGAGTGTGGTTCAGAGCGGAATCACGGTGAGGGTGATGGCGGTTGAATGGATGAAGATTGAACAGATGCGGAGAAAAGATGAAAGGGGATGTTGATGAAGCTCGCGGAAACTGAAGGGCAGAAGCATAGGTGAGTGTGATGGATGGATAGAGGGTAGTGTATTGGTTTATTTGTTGTTTTTGTGAATGAATAGATTGCAGGGGGGTTAAGGTAGTGTGGTGAAAAAAATAGAAACAGGAGGATGAGTTATTGTATATGTTTTTTGTTTTTGTGTTTTTCGTTTGACAGCAGGTGGTGTTCTGAAATTTTTGTTCTAAACCTTGAGGTTTTATTAGAAATTTTCCACAGGTTTTTACTTTGTTTTCCCCCCTTCAGAATGAATTTTTGGAGGGAAAATTTGTGGGTCTTGGACAAATTGATATGCTGATTTTTCCCTTTCTAATGCAGGATTTGCATCCTCTATTTTTGTGAAATTTTATACTGCTTTTGGACAGGTTTTTGGCATTATTTGTGCAGAATTTTGACTTGTTTTTGGACAGGTTTGACAGGATTTGGAGCAGCATTGCAGTAGCATGTTTTTGGGACTGATATGCATACAGTATGGATAATTTTGAAGCAAGGTTTGGACTGTTTTGAAGTGTTTGTAGCAGCTGATTTATGGACAACATTGGTACAAGTTATGGAGCAATTTGATGCATCATGAAGCAAGGAAAATGGGCTTGAAAATAATAGCATAGACTTAGACTTGGTATTTTGAAAATTGATGAAGGATAGTTTAAAATAGGCTTTAGGATTTACAATGTTTTTTCATGTGATTTTGTGGCTATAATATTTGTAATGAAATTTGAAATTTGTAACAAGTCTTGAATTTGTATGTAACTTTAAATATTTCATTTGAGTTTGGAATGGATTTGTCTTGAGATTTTTGAAATTGCAAACTTGAGATATGCCTAAAAATTAGCATGATGCATTCTCCACTTTTGAACTAGACATGACAAATATCCTTGAATCAATGATCTTGAAATTTTCTTTAAAGTTTGTATCAAATTCTTGGATTGAATAAGAACTTTTCCTTAGAAATAGTCCTTGTAGAATTGATGGACTTAGATTCCTTGAATGGTCTTTTTTACCTTGAAATGCATTCCAAATAAAACACCTAAACCTTTTACCATGAACCGAATCTTGATGAACAAACAAAGAAACTTGATCTAAATCCAATTTTAATTCATTAATTACTAATGCTCGAATACAAGCAACTTGTATTATAGCAATATATAATCAATGAATCCTCAAACTCAACATCTTGCCTTTACCCTTGACTTAGTGGAGAACAATCTCAATACAAAATCAATTCTAAGCCTAAAATGTTCAAGCGAACTCATGGCCTTCCAAACGCATTCGGATGTAGATCCTTGAAGCAATCTTGTAGACGACATCATTTGTGACATGTTGCAAAAAGAACCATCCCGAAATGATGAAAATCGAAATAGTTACAATCCTTGAAAGTCGAGTAATTGTTACTTGAGATTAGGCCACAGTCATCAAAGTGACCTCTGAGTATCCGAACTTTTGATGATCCTCCGCACCTAATCAGACCTTGACTGGTAAAGAGGGGTTAGAGATGACGTCAAAGAAAATTGTACGCAAAAGTAACCATTCAAAAAATGTTGAATAATGAAAAGTTACGATCGTTTGGACTTGAATGTGCAAGCGTTGACTTTTGGACAAAGTGCTTTGAATCGACCTACAAACTTGCTCTTTCTTCGCATTTCAAAGCATCTTGATGCACATGTGAACCAGTGATGATGAAATCTTGTTCGTGCTCTGAGGAAGTTGTGGAGGAGTTTGAGACCACTTATTGAACAGAGCGTGGAAATAATCACACGATTGCCCTGAGGAATCAGTCTTCAAGAACCAACGATAAATTGTACTTCCGGATTGAGAGATTCCGAACCCTAATCGAGGCGTGACGCCTGATGCTCTTGATTCAGATCTGTTTCCTGCAAATGAAATCAAAGAAACGAAAAACACACACACTCCGTGCTTGATTAGAAGTTAGTGATACATAGGCTAAGAATTTTCAAAACACTTGACAATCTTCACATAGTCAAAGCTCGAAGGTAAGAGGTTAAAACCAACTGTATTTAGTGACCTTGACTTTTGTATAAAAAATGCAAAAATGCAAGTGGGATCTTAGGTCAAAAATTGGGGTACAACAATGTTCATTATGTTATGTACAAGTATGTATATACAAACAAAGCAAACAAGTCCTTAGGTTCAGGCTTGCATGGAGTTTTATAGGTAAGTACCCTCTTGAAGTTTAGTTGGCTCAACCTGTCCTAGTAATAGTAACCGGGTTCTAAGGAGCTCAATATCACTGGTTGGTTTCCTTGGTCATTGTTTCAGCACAAGCCTCTTTAATGGCGATCGAAATATCCTAAGAAACCAAACCTCAATGAGTGTAGTATCGAGTATCTACCAACTTCGGACTGTACCAAAGCCGGTCATCTCACTACATCCTAAAGATCAAGTTGGTCAAGTAAAGGTTCTAGAAGTTCATTAGTGTTTTATGACATCACTCAGCGGCCCCGTATTCTCTTTGATTAACTCAAAGGCTATCGGTACCCACAAATATGTTGCACTAACGTAGCTATTGCTTAGACCATGTCGGTATACCCTGCACAGTTTCCATAATGTATTGCTACTTACCTATAATGTATCCCAAATCCGGGTAGAGGATTCAAACCCAAACAAAGTACCATAATGTAAAGCATACAAGTCAAACAATGCAAGCAAGTAAATGTGATCTAGCCCTAAGGTAACCCCACTTTTAAAATTTTCCCCAGCAGAGTCGCCAGTTCTATGATACGGTGGGAGAATTGACTTGAAGGTTTTGCGTTTGATCGCAAATTTTACGGTTAGCAAGAGTCGTCACCGACTTTTATTTTATCCAAAAGGAAAGGTGAAAAAGCACAGGAAAGACCTTTGATATTATTTCTTGAGTTCGGGGGGTAAATTATGAAAAAGGAAGGTATTATCACACTTTTCATCCATGGTTTTCCATGGGCTCTTAGTTACTTGCTAGATCACTTGCTTTTTGTTTGAAAATTGTGCTTCATGTGGTTTTTGAAAGTATTTTGTAAAAGAGACCATTGTTTAGGCAATCTTTGTAATGATTCATATTCTTAATAATGTATACAAAGATGTTGATCTTTTGAAAATGTTTTCAAGTTTTGTAAGATGTTTTGAAAGTGTAGGTGTTTGTTTCTAAAAATAGCAAGAATGTTTGTTTTGAAATGGAGCAAGTAATTAGGAGCAATCTACCTACTCAAATTTCTTTCTTGTTCATTTTATTTTCCTTTGACATTATTGTCTTACCATTGATTTGGTAAGCAACCCTATCTTTGGATGTAAATGGGACGGGCATGGGTCATTGTATAACCATGATTAGCAATGTTGCAAGGTATGTTAGCATTCTTTTTGAGGGACTAAGATTATTTGTAAGGCAACTTAGATAGCGTCATCGAGGGACCATGATCTTGTATTTGCTTGTTTTTGCTAAGATACCTTACATGCGTAATGTGGTCATTTTGTATAAGGCAACTAAGTGGAATAATCCTAGGGGTGCTTGTGTGCAAGTATATTGTTTTCATGCTTGCTTTTGTCTTGAATTAGGGTTTTTTAAGTATTGGTTTTAGTCTTTCCATACAAATCCTAATTACTAGCATTTATATATAAAAGCGATAAATTGCGGAATTTTAAAAGTTACTACGCTATTACAACATTTGTGGGGGGTGTACAAATTGAATGGGGATTGTAAGAATTGTAAACCTAATTAGTCTATTACAACCATATTGAATGGGTATTAATGTACAATAATTTAAATAAATATAAAGTACAAAATGAATGAATTGTACAAAAAATGCAAAATGTAAAGAAAATGCATCTTTGTTTGATTTTCATGAAAAAAAGGGATTTTGTCTTAACCTAATTAAATAAAGAAAATAATTAATTAAATTTTAATTTTATTAAGAAAAGATTTTAAGTAAACCCTAGTTCTATTAATTAATCAAAAGAAAATAAGTTTAAGAAAAGTATTTTTTGGTATTTTTATCTTAAAAATATTTATAGCATTATAAAATATTTTGTCTTTTTTATATCAAAAATAATGTATTTTAAAATGGTGTGAAAAATAAATAAATAAAAACATAGTATTAATTAAGTTTACAAGATTATTTAATAAAATAAATAAGGTATAATAAATAAAAATATTTTTTGTGAGAAAAATAAAATAAAATAAGTCAAAATATAAATATGTCATTTTTTTGTATTTTATGATTTTTAGTATTCAGGAAAATATATTTAAGAAAAGAAAAATAAAAATAAATAAATAAATAAATAAAATAACTTGGGCCAGGGGGTGCCAAGAGTCAGCAGGGAGGTCAGTGAGCAAAAACAAAAACAAGTCAGGCCCAAAGGGGCCCAGCGCCTGCCAAAATCAGAAAAAATGAAAATATGAAAAATGAAAAGGGTACCACTGGGGCTCGAACCCAGGTTCCATAGGTTACAGGCGCGCGCTTCTACCACTGGGGTGGCTATACATCTGTTAATATAAGTAAAACAACAAATATGTTAGGCAAAACGCACCCTGAAGACTTCATCTTCAACCTCCAGCCAGACCATTTGTAACTTGCTCATTTCTCATCAAAAATAAAAACTGTAAACGTGAAACTTGTAGCAAATTTTCTCACGATTCCAGAAATGTAAAGTATTAAAACTATAGATCAAAGATAAGCATGAATTTTAATGGCCCTAATATGAACCCTAAAAATTTCAGAGATTTTAGTTTCAAAATTCTCTAAGCTCAAGCAAAATTAATGGAAACTAAGGACATGGTTAGCTTCAGGGCAATGATATCTACATGTTTTATTCACAAATAAACTATTGATGACGTCTGTATGAAGAGTTCCAAGTTGAGAAAACTTACCTCAAAACTGGAAATCGTGTTTGGAGTTTGAGCTTGTTTCAGGCAGTGGTGATGATCAGGTTAGCTTCCTTGAGGTCCTAGGAAGCTAATGCAATGGTTTGCTTGAGTTGGGAGTGGCTGAAATGACCTGGAGAATTCCAACTGCAATGCTCTGTTTTTGGCTATGGAAGTTGATGAAGATGGAGTTACAATTTTCAAACAGGGACATGGATGGTCTGTATTTTGTATGAGGAAGCTTTAGGAATGAATTTGAGGGAAAACGCACGAGGGAAATGAGAGATAAAAGTTTAAGGTCAGAACTGTGTATCAATGGAGTTTTTTGTGCAATTTCTGGCTAGAGGGAATTTGGGAGTGTTTCAGGGTGTTAAAGCTCATCCTCTAGCTCACAAATAGTGACTATATTTATAAGCAACAAGTTTGGAATGCTCTAGTTGATCTAAATTCAAAATCACAAGTTTATGCATAACATGTGATTTTTTGAGAAATCAAGTTTCAATGCTTTGTACTTGGTTCATATAGTTGTTAACTACTTTAAACACAATCCTTCTGACTTTGTGGATGGAGTGTAATCAAGGAAAACAAGTTGGGAGCTCAAGAAGCTGACTTTATGCATAAAGCTTACTTTACAAGAATGGATATGTTACTTTCTCCCTAAAATGGCAAATTGATTTGGACAAAGCTTGAAACACTTGGATAAGGGAATAATCAGTTGTGTAAACCATTAATTATGGAGTGACAAACAAGTTTGAGGCCTGAAAAACAAGGATTATGCAGCCTAGCATGGATTTGGTTCATGTGTTCATAAAAAATGACTTGTAATTCAAGTGACAAAACCCTAACTTCATCTCTTCGATTCTCCCTCCTCAAGAATGATCTCAAGGATTTCTTTGACATTTTGGAAAGCTAGCAATCTATTATACAACCAATATTTGAATTTCTTTTTAATATTCCCCTTGGAACTATATGAAAAAGTGCCATGAAGTTAGGTCAAAATCCTGACCAAATTAGGACAAAATTTCACTGAGTGTTTAGTTTCATTACCACATGTTCATAAAATTATAACTTGAGATCCAAGCATTTTTGGAAGGATTTGTGTAAATAAAAGTTGTAGATTTCATGGAGATATACAACTTTCATGTTGGAAGTTTCTCTTGAATCATCTTGCATCATGGTGAAAATTTTGTT